TGTCAAAATAGTAACCTACTCTGTACAAATTTTATGTGGCCTCTGTTTTTATATTAACTGTGATTTTTCTCTTCGATCTTCCTTCTTCCGTTTGTCTATTAGAAATGTCATATTTTGTTCTGATACGGTCTTTGAAATAAATAAATACATAAGAACAAAGTAAATCATTTCCGCAAAAGCGTCATGTTTTTTTAATAAATACATAATTATTATACATGGGAAATGAAGCCACGACCGTCCAAAGTAAGATGGTGTGCTAATCAGCTACACCACCGGGGTGACAAAACAAGCAGATATTGTTTTTAGCTATAATTTATGGGAGTTTATCTTTTAATCAAGTTACTTCGGATTTTTAGTAAACGTTATTACTTTTTTTTCTTTCTATGGGTCTGGAGAACTTGTTAATTTTCATTTTAAATTGATAACATAATAGATCTGCGACGTCTCTGTTATGTTCTCAATTTAAAATGAAAATTTTAAACGCTGCGACGTCTATGACTCTACTTGCTCTATGACCATAGTTCGTTTTTTGTCAACTTCCGCGTGTGAGCAGGTCAGATATATAATTATTACTATTGACCTTGTCTAGACCTTGTAAACGTAATTCTTCAGCCGTCTGCCTCGGCTCATTTTCGTCTCTATACAATTTTTTAATGGATGCTAATGGAATGGGGCACTTGCCTGCGCTGTGGGAGGCTGGAGGAGTTTTTTTTATGGATGATAATGGAATGCACATGCCTGCGCTAACGGTTTACGCTGGCGGAGCACCAGTGGAGGATGATAAGATGAACATGAGGTCATGTCAGTTAGCCCATCGTGACAAATTCACCAGGAATTTATCACGATGTTTTCCAGGGGGAACTGCATGGAGGTCAACTTGACATCCTAAGCTCCATTGCTAGCAATGGGGTCATGAGTCCATTACTAACAATCTCATTCCCCTCGCTGGAGGAGAGTCAGTTTAGGATGATAGGATGAACATAGAGTCCCGTCAGTTAGCCGCTTACAGATATTACGTCGACAATTTAGGATTCACATTTAGGAAAACTGTTGTTGGGTCATAGTCTTAAAGTATTTCACTTTTATAGTATAAAAGCTGTGCCCGCGATTTCATCCGAAATCCATAGCCAATATGTTATTCTGATGTATAAGCTATATTACTTACTGTACAGTTTCATCAAAATCTGTTCAGTATTTTTTGCGTGAAAGAGTAACAAACATGCATCCATACTGTGAGTATGGATGCATGTTTGTTACTCTTTCACGCACTTTTATCAGCGCACAGGCCAAACCACTGGACGGATCGGGCTGAAATTTGGCATGCAGGTAGATGTTATGACGTAGGCATCCGCTAAGAAAGGATTTTGATTAATTGTACCCGCAAAGGGATAAAATAGGGGATGAAAGTTTGTATGAAACTTTGTCAATTTTAAATCGATCGGGCTGAGATTTTGGATGCATAAAGATACTATGACGTAGGCATCCCTTTAGAAAGGATTTTGATAAATTCCACACCCAAGGGGATAAATTAACGCGAGCGAAGCCGCGGGCAAAAGCTATTTAAGATTATAAAATACATTTCTGATTAGCCAGTTACAACATTTTTTTTTACTTTTAAACGCAAGGTTTAAATATTTACGGCTTCGATGGTCTAGTGGTTTAGCACACCGCTTTACTTGCGATGGTCGCGGGTTCGATTCCTCGCACGGTGCAATAATTTGTGTTCATAAGTATGATTGTTTGTATCGGTCTGGGTGTTTCCTATGTATATTATCTATGTATTTACTATAAAATATATCTTAATCTAAGTACTTATATCAATTATGTAGTATCTCTGCTTACTGTAGGACTAGATGGCGCTGTGTTAAATGTCCAGGTTTATTTAATTAATATAGAATTATTTAGGCAACGACCGACCGATACAAACAATCATACTCATGAATACAAATGTTCGTGCCGTGCGAGGAATCGAACCCGCGACCATCGGAAGTAAATCGGTGCGCTAAACCTCTAGACCAATAAAATTTAGCAGCCATACTGTTGGTGCGTTAGTTTGCCGATCGTCGTCACCAACCGGAAGTGGACTGATGGTAAATGAGCCATACTCCAGATCAATTTCCGTTGGTCATATGAAATAGAAATAGAAATAATCTTTATTCAAATCAACTGAATATGAGCACTTTTATAATATTAACCACAATATAATTCTACCACTCAATATCATTCATATATTCAATAAATATTTACGTATAAATTATGTTATATATATAAACATATTATGTATAGATATAATTTATAGTCTCAATATTATTTTATTCAAGAATCTTAGCCACAGCAACGCGTGGCCGTGTCTGATAGTGCTACAGAAGCCTTGTCTTCCATAATTACTAAAATAAGAATATATTTATCATCGCATAATTTTAAGTAGTAAAAATAGTTTTAAAATATAAATGTGTTGGCAATTAGCTGTAAGCTTATATTGTGTTTATTAAATAAATAAATAAATAAAAACCTCTTGTCACAATGTTAGTTACCATACTCCTCCGAAACGACTTTATATGCAAATTCAGTACGTCTGATCATCAGCTCTTATCTATTTTAAGTGATAAAGATAGACCACCCTGTTTTTTTTTTAATTTTTTTTTATAATGTAGAACACATTCAACATAAATTTTTCATTTTATTTTTAAATCAACCCCTATTTTTTAATAGCGATTTTAATTTATATGGCATAACAACGTTTGTGGTCTCAGCTAGTAATATATAATACTCAATAAATAATTACATATAAATTTATAATTTATAATATAATTTATAATAATTTATAATATCATGGTCTAGTGGTTTCACACAGCACCATCTAGACCCAAGATAATTTGTGCTAAAGCTTGTTTATGGTGTTTACTAGATAACTGATACATATACATAGATCAATTATGTAGTTTTTTTTTTTTTGTAAATAAATACATATTATACATAGAAAACACCCAGACCGATACAAACAATCATACTCATGAATACAAATGTTTGTGCCGTGCGAGGAATCGAACCCGCGACCATCGGTCGTAAAGCGGTGTGCTAGACCGCTAGACCAATTAAATTTCGTCATTATGTTATATATATAATATTATACTGCATCTAATTAGTTTAATTGTGGTTCGTTTAATTAGAGCGTCGGTACAAGCAATTATAGTATCTGGGTTTGTTACAATGTATCCCTTTACATTTATTGATCAGTGATTATAGTAACTATTCCATCATATAACTATATCATAATATATCTCTATGATAAGATTAAGTTTGTTAGTTACGTATATGTATGACTAATTAATATTTTAAATAGTGCTCTCTCTCCCCCTTACTAATATTATAAATGCGAATATATATATGTCTGTGAAATATGAGAAAGGACATAGGCTACTTTTCAATGCGATAGAAGGGCTTTTTTTTTTTGGATGATAATGGAATTGTGCACCCGCCTGTGCTAACGGTTAGCTGGCGGGGCACCAGTGGAATGGACTTATCATCATCATCATCATCGCAGCCCGTAAGACGTCCACTGGTGGACATAGGCCACCCCCCAAAGATCTCCACGACGATGTCCTGCGCTGCTCGCAAAATGCCTTCCAGCGATCTTGACCAATCGTCGGTCCTATTTTTGGAGGCTTTTTAATTTATATGGTCATTCCGGTCCGTGGTCGCCACTCGAATATATAATACTGCCCCAACTGCCATCTGTCTCTATATATAATGTGCCCTGCCCATTGTTTAATTGTGGTTCGTTTAATTCTTCGGGCTATGTCGGTACTCTGGTTCTTCTGTATCTCCTACATTTCTATTCGATCACGCATAGCAACTCCGAGCATAGCCCTCTCCAATATATCTCTAAGATGACTCTAAGCTTGTTGATGGGGCGTATAGTCAGCGACCACGTCTAAATGTGCTCTCTCTCTCACTGGCAACACATATATATATATATATATATCGTCTTGAGACACTGCGGAAATTGGACGAAAAGATATATCGGAGCTTCGAACGCTGCCCATCCGAGTAAAAAAATGAATATTTTCGACGATTGACCTCTTCTCGAAATTGGATTTACCTAGCTGAATGGATATTTTTCCTAAGTACACGTTTTTTTCGACAATTTCGAGTGTAGAATATCCGATTTTTTGTAAACGACATGGACTTTTGACATAATTTTCGTCTTGTCCATGTTCATTTTAAGACCTACATCCTTGTGAGACTCTACTATTTTTAGTTAGCCCTTAGTGACAAATTTATCAGGAATTTAACACGACGGTTTAAAAGGGGGAACCGTGTGGAGTTCAACCTCATATGGTGCATTGCGTAGCAATGAGATCATAAGTCTTTACAATACTAACAATTCTTCCGAAGACGTTTTTTTAATAGATAGAGTGATTCAAGAGGAAGGTTTATATGTATAATACATGTACACCCACGCGAAGCCGGGGCGAGTAGCTAGTTCTCTATAAAAAGAAATTACCCATGCTAATACCGGTTTTTTAGAAAATTTTTAGTCTCTACGTTGGTATTATTAATATATATTCTATAGGGTTATATTACCACTTTCCATCAGACGAGCCATTATATAGAATAGTATAAAATAGAATAGAAATAATATTTATTCAAATAAACTTAATATATATGTAACCCGTGATCATGGCGATTGAAGCACTGCCGAAATATCGGAAACTCAATAAAAAAAACGTATTTTGCTGTCTAGCCGTCCTAAAACTATACCAACGGATTCTGAAGCGGTTTTTTTAATAGATAGAATGATTCAAGAGGAAGGTTTATATGTATAATACATGTACTCGTGTGAAGCCGGGGCGAATAGCTAGTGTAGTATATTTCATTGAGTTCACTATGACCTCAAGTGAATCCAGACAGTTATACCTACAATAGATAAAGAGAAGTCTGATAAGATATCAATGCTCGTGCCGTTTCACTGTAATATATATTTTATTCAACTTGTAGACTTTGAAGCGAGTCCACGAATATAATGTGCAAAGTGTAATAAACTCTCGTGTGTTACGATAAAACATATAATGGACTGTCATTAAATTAATACTGGTACGTAAATTGTATTATCAAATTAGCTGTATATAACTTTATTTTTCTAAAATGAAAGTAGCCTAAGTCACTCCTTATTACATCAGCTATCTGCCAATAAAAGTCCCGTCAAAATCGGTCCAGCCATTTCAGAGATTAGCCGGAACAAACAGACAGACAAAAAATGTTATTTTAGTGTATGTACCGTATTTATATTCACATGCATGTAGTAAAAAACGGTTATTTCAATATTACAAACAGATTCCAATTTTATTTGTACGTATAGATAATTTAATTTTTATATTAATATTAGCAGACCCGGCTACGCGTTGCTGTGTCTAAGGTTCTTGAATAAAATAATATTGCGACTATAAATTGAGATGTAAGCTATCCTATCTTTCAAGTTGGATCAAATTGCATATAATGTGCAAATCAAATGTGCAATCGGTTCAGTAGCTTAGGAGTCCATCCCGGACAAACAACGTGATACGTAATTTTTATATATAAAGATATAAATATTAAATTACTAGCTGACCCGTGTAACTCCGTCTGCATCACACTTATTTGACATATATCATTATATTTCGCCTAAATTACATACTTAATATCTTTTTAAATTATAGCCTATGTTATTCTGATGTATAAACTACATTAAACTGTGAAACTGTGAAATTTCAGCAAAATCTATTCGGTAGATTTTACGTGAAAGAGTAAAGAAACATATATCCAAAGAAACAAAAAAATTTCCACAGGTTCCTAAAGTTCATCAGTCTGACATTTGACATGTAGTTACCGTGACATTGTCACTAGCGCACAGCGACATGTCACGGGTCAAGTGGCTGGTGCTGTGGTCACTGTGGGCTGCACGCCTGGTGCGCCAGCCGACCGCGACAGTACGGGTCTCTGGGGGCCTGTTACGCGGTTCCATTGCACCATCCGGTACGCATGCAGAATACTTGGGGATACCGTATGCTAGCCTTGGGCCCGAGTACAGATTTAAGGCAGGTATTTTTTTAATGGATGATAGTGGAATGATGGACCCGTCTGCGCTAACAGTTTAGAGTACAGTGGCACTAGAGGAGGATGATAAGATGAGCATGAGGTCAGGTCAGTTAGCCCATCGGGGCAAATTGGTCTACGCTGGCAAAGCACCAGTGGAGGATGATAAGTCTAACATTAGATCATGTCAGCCACTCGTTGAAAATTTACCAGGAGTTGTATATTGTATAAATTGTCATGTTGGTTTCCAGAAGCAACCGCTACAATGAACCTGACGTGGTAGATTGCTAGCAATGGGGTCAACAGTCCACATTAACAACTCCCTTACCCCACAAACATATTTTATATTGCCATATTGAGAATTAAAATAATAATGTTATGTTTTAGGCCCCAGGACCAGAGACAAAATGGCAGGGAGTCTACGAGGCTGTCGATGAGAACATAAAATGTCAACAGAATGCTTACATAGAAGCTCCTTTTGTAGTTGGCAGGGAGCATTGTTTAATTTTAAATGTATATACACCATTAAACACAAATAGCAATAGTTCTTTACCAGTGATGGTGTTCATTCATGGCGGGGGATATTTCGAAGGGTCTGCAGGCGGTTTTGTGTATGGACCCCAGTATTTAGTTAGCAAAGGAATCATACTGGTAACTATTAACTATCGTCTCAATATCCAAGGATTTTTATGTTTACGAACCAAAGATGCTCCTGGCAATGCAGGCATGAAGGACCAAGTAGCCGCTTTGAAGTGGGTTCAACGAAATGTTAAGGCATTCGGAGGAGATCCTGACAATGTGACATTGTTTGGTGAAAGCGCTGGCGCTGCATCCGTTTCCTATCATGTTGTTTCTCCAATGTCAAAAGGTCTCTTCCATAAAGCTATATTGCAAAGTGGATCGTCACTTAGTGCTTGGGCTTTCCAGTATAGACCAGTGTACATGGCCAGTTTGTTGGCGAAAACAATGGGTTATACAACTCAAGATCCCCATAAGCTATTTAAGATATTTTCTGATAAATCTGATTCAGAATTAATCGTCACAAGAGTACCAAGGAAGGAAGGTAATCAGGTTGTATCAGAAATACTTTACACGCCATGTGTTGAAGATGATCTAGAGGGTGAAGAACAATTTTTAACAGTATTGCCATATGATGCTTTAAAACAGGGAAAATATAATAAAGTCCCAATGGTAATAGGTTCAAATAATGAAGAAGGATATTTGTTTATGGGAATGGAAAACGGCACTACAATTCCCAAAATAACAATTGAAAAATCTTTGCCAAAAGATTTGGTGTTCCCATCAGAAACAATACGAAAGGAAGTTGCTGAGAAACTTAGAAAAATGTACATGGGTGATGATGTAATATCAAAGGAAACACTACTAAAACTTTCCAGGTTTACTGGTGAAATGTATTTGAATTACCCAACTATGGAAGAAACTGATTTAATAGCTAAAACGAGTGATAAACCAGTGTACAGTTATTTGTTCAGCTACAGTGGTTGGAGGAATATCGTCAAATTATTGCACGGGTATATAGACCCTGGGGCTACGCATGCAGATGACTTGTTTTATTTGTTCAGCCAACCTTTAGTATCATCGATGTTTGAGATGGAAATGATCAACAAAATAACAACATTGTGGACCAACTTTGCTAAATATGGGTGAGTTAATTTAAGATACGTTACATATTCTGCTATAATCTTTTTAATATGGTTAATCGGGCTTTAATAGAATAGAATAGAAAATCATTTATTCAAATAAACTTAATTTAAGCACTTTTGAATAGTCATAACAATTTGTTTTTTATCTACCACTCGTTCGGAAAGCTGTCTCATCACAAGAAGAACGAGCAAGAAACTTGTGTGTTGCTCTTTTAAATAATTTTATTATTACTTTACATTTTTAAGTTTAGAATAGAAAATCATTTATTCAAATAAACTTAATTTAAGCACTTTTGAATAGTCGTAACAATTTGTTTTTTATCTACCACTCGTTCGGAAAACTGTCTCATCACAAGAAGAACGAGCAAGAAACTTGTGTGTTGTTTACATTTACAAGTCGAAACGTGTGAATACAAACTACCAACAAGCACTAATTTTTTGGGTCAAATATAAATATGCAATAAAATTAAATCAGTCGTAGTGATAAGAGCAGACCAGTCCCTACAAGCAGCACTCGTTCACGAGTATGCCGGATGAGCCAGCCATCACTGCAACACACTTTAACGCAATTTTATGATAAATACTTACCTGATTAAATAAATTATTAATTTGTATTGAACGCATATGCTTAACAACGACTTTAATCTTTTGTTTTATTCGATTAATAAAAAATAAATAGGATTGTCATAATTTCATTAAACTCATCACAAAATTTAATTTTTAATTTAACATAAGCTGTGTTGTTATCCGTTGTATCTCCAGATAATTAAATGTCATTTGATTTAATTACAATCTTCTAAAAATATGTATTTCCTTAGTGTTTATGGTCATTAGAATAGTTCCAAAGATATATATCATTTCTTTTGTAAAATGTGAATACTATAACTATCAGATAGCAATTGTAAGTAGCTTTGACGTAGTCTAGTGTTTTGAGTAGTCATGCTCACTAAAATGTCCAGACTTGTGGCGGCGTGGTGGGCCGGCTCATTGGGCTCCCGCACGGCACAAAATATGGTCGAGCGCAGTGATGGCTGGCTCATTTTCCGTATTTCGAAAAAAAAATATCTCGTATTTGTTTGCTGCTTGTAGGGACTGGTCTGCTCTAATCACTATGACTGATTTCCTCTTATTAATTGTTTAACCAGTTGGTTATATATTCAATATTATTTCTATTTGAGTATTTAATAGAGTTAGTGCTAATTGGTGGTTTGTATTCACACACTTCAACTTAAAAATGTAAAGTAATAATAAATTATTTAAAAGAGCAACACGCAAGTTTCTTGCTCGTTCTTCTTGTGATGAGACAGCTTTCCGAACGAGCGGTAGATTAAAAAATGTAATGACTATTCAAAAGTGCTTCAATGTAAGTTTATTTGAATAAATGATTTTCTATTCTATTCTTTTGTGGCACTTAATGAATATTGTTTAGACATTAGAATATTGTTTTTACAAAAATTCGAGCACTATCGTTGCCTGCTAACTACCACTTCTGTTACAGCGTTAAGTTAGGAAGAGATCTCTATCAGAGATAAGTCCATCCTTGCTCACATTTTATATAATCATCTTCATTTGACGACCTCGGTGGTCTAGCGGTCTAGCACACCGCTTTACGTCCGATGGTCGCGGGTTCGATTCCTCGCACGGCACAAACATTTGTATTCATGAGTATAATTGTTTGTATCGGTCTGGGTATTTTCTATGTATAATATGTATGTATTTACGAAAAAAAAAATTATCTATGTATTTGTATCAGTAATCTAGTACCTATAACACAAGCTTTAGCTAGCTTAACTTGGGTCTAGATGGCGCTGTGTGAATTGTCCTGAGATTATTATTATTTATTAATGTAACAAAATAAAGTATATTATATTATTTAATTAAAAATACTGATTGAGTTGAGAATTTAAATTCCTTACTATTATCAGTACATAATACAAACTTCAGTCAAAGGCCGTACAGTAATCTACAAAACATTACTTAATCGATGTATAATTTATCACCATTCTGTGATTTGTTGATAAATGCATTTCATAAAATATAATAAATTAAATAAATCCTTATTAATATTATAAATACGAAAGTAACTCTGTCTGTCTGTCTGTCTCGCTTTCACGACAAAACTACTGAACGTATAGGCTCTTAACAATTTCATTTTTTCGGACTACTCTAATGCTCTTGGCTGCAGTTGGCCTTTAGTTTCACCGGACGATAGGGGGCGATTGCAGATGAAAGAAGGACAGAAAGAAGGACTTGTGGAGCGGCTGAAGGCCAACATCCGCCTGACGGATACGACTTAACAATTTCGAAAAGATCTGTCTGCACCATGTCTCCATTAAGCTTGATATCATTTGAGCACAATCTATTTTTGGTTTTCATGCTAGCATCAAATATTTTACGTACTGGTGTGGTTTTATTGTTAGGATTAAAAACTGGATCCTGCGATTAACAAGTATTATTGTTTAAACTCAAATCACTATTGCCAATAGAATAGAATAGAATATAAATAATCTTTATTCAAATAATCTCATTACAAGGACTTTTGAATGGTCATATTTTGATTCTACCACTCATTCGGAATGCAGATTCATCACAAGAAGAATGAGCAAGAAACTTTAAGCTTTAAACAAGAACAAGAAACATTAAGCTCATTTGAATAAAGATTATTTCTATTTCTATTAAATAAATTATGCTTTAGTCCTAATGATTTATCATATTTTAAGCTACTTTATTCTTTGACAGGAACCCAACATCATCTGGTATAGAATCCTTACCTGTAAGATGGCCAGCCGTTCTAATGATTTATCATATTTTAAGCTACTTTATTCTTTGACAGGAACCCAACACCACCTGGTATGAAATCCTTATCTGTGAGATGGCCAGCAGTGGACCTCTCGTCACCTGTCTCTCTAAACATAGACTCAGAGCTTAGTATTATACCAATGTGGCACAGAGAGAGTCTCAAGTTCTGGAAAGAAATATACAGGAAATACAGAAGAAAAGAATAATTATTTTTATATGTATTAGGGAATTAAATTAAATTATTTATTATTTAAATTATATTGATTTGATTTTACTATATCTATCTATCTATCTGCTCTATGATATAATAATAATAATATAAAAATCAATAAAGAAGTATACCATCCACATAGTACCAATAGTTTTGTCAAACACACACAATATACAAAGCAGTCGTCAATGAAATACTAACAAAGTATACAGCATCTAGTAATAGACCTATTAAAAAAACAATGGAATCCACACACCATCCACATAGTACCAATAGTTTTGTCATCCATCTATATTATACCAAGAATTTCTTATCAAACACGTAGACACGTTGCAGATCCCCTGTACAATAGACCTATTACTTAAAAAGCCGATATATAAATTAACACATAAAATTTATTAAGCTTATATATTTCGCTTATTTATGTAATTATATAATTTTAGAAGTATATTTGTACCTTTTTTTCATATATATATAGGTATATATACATATATATAAATAAAAAAAAAAATACTTAAATTTATTATTTTAATCGATGGAGCTGGTGTCTGAGATAGGCGTAACCTGTAATACAGATCACCAGGCCCCCAACCGAAAATTGATATAAGTTAAACATATTATGATGCTTATACTACACTAAATAAATTATAATTATATAACGTTTAGAGATATAAAGAAAAAAAAACGAAAAAAATAGTATAATAAAGTAGAGAGTACGGTTTATATATATATATATATATATATATATAAACTACATATATATTTTTTTCTGTATTAATCTATTTTATACTTGTAAAATTGCACCGCCATACTATCTCTGATCAACGCTACTGTTGACTGGTAGAGAATGCCATCAGGCATTAAGTCCGACATGTTTACAATTATGTGTGCAAAAGAAAAAATAAATAAAAATATAAAACATATATATATACAATAATAATAATAAATTGGATAATTAACACAGCGCCATCTAGTCCCACGGTAAGTAGAGCTTGTGTTATGATGTATTATTTACTGAGCAAAGCCTATTACTCACTAAACGATTACTTGAATGACGAGTGTGCATGGCAATAGTTGTTCATGCACTGAATTTTCATTTAATGTTAGACATAGACACCTATATAAATATACATTGTAAATAAACTGGCTTTAAAGAAAAAAAGTAATTCAATTGAGTTTCTTGCCAGTTCTTCTCAATTGGATGTATATACCGAACTGGACGGTAGGGAAAAAAATAAAATTATAATGTAAAAATTTGACGTTCATAAGCGGCTAAAACGTCCTACATGAATAAATGATTTTTGAATTTGAATATGAGTACTAGACAACTGATATAAACACTTAGATATATATCTTTTTGTAAATACATACACATACATACAAACCATCATACTCATGAATACAAATGTTTGTATCGTGCGATGAATCGAACCCGCGACCATCGGAAGCCATTAATAATACAAATAATGTGTATGGGATGAGAGTTTAAAAACATAGATAAATGAAAGATACATAGGTAACAATCTTTTCAAATAAACTCAATACAATCACTTGTAAATAGTCATGTTTTTGATTTAATCACTGGAACGGAGAATGAATTTGGAATGGAAACCACATGAAAATCTGTCAAGTAGTTTTTGAGATAATCGCAAACATTATTACATAAATTGTAGGTATATATTACATTATAAAAACTACAAAAATGTATATATACAATAAGGCGCTATTGAGATTCTATTCAGTTTGCAACTAAATTTCCGGCGCGGCGGCCCAATGTAAGCCGCTTACCGTTGCCTAGGGTTGCCAACTTATTGACAAAAAAAATCTATAAACTGGTTTGGATAGAGAAAAAAAAGGTATTACAAAAAAAAAAAAAAATATTTCAAATTTTAGGTTCTCATTTCTTTAAAAACGTGATTTTGTGTACTTCTGGCACATCCTAAGAATTTTCTGTTATTAGGTTTATATATATAATTGGTTTTATATTTCGATTTTGATGCTGTTTTTTTAATAGATAGAGTGATTCAAGAGAAATGTTTATATATATAATACATACATATAGTACACCCGTGCGAAGCCGGGGCGAGTGGTTAGTAAAGTATAATTACCAAAAATAAAGTAGGATACGTGATTATAAAGTACTAGCTACTCGTAAAGTAGTAAACCTTCAAACTCAAATTCAAAAATCATTTATTCATGTAGGACATTTTAGCCGCTTATGAATGTCAAGTTTTTACATTGGAATTTTTCTCCCTACCGTCCAGTTCGGTATATAGATCCAATTGAGAAGAACTGGCAAGAAACTCAATTGAATTACTTTTTTTTTAAATCCAGTTTATTTACAATGCATAGGTATTTATATAGGTGTCTATGTCTAACATTAAAAAAAATCCCGAACATGAAAACTATTGCCATGCACGCTCGTCATTCAAGTAATCATTTAGTGAGTAATAGGCCTTGCTCAGTAAATATAATTTAACAGATGTTTTGAATTTATTTAAGGGTAATTCCAATATATCCTTTGTTATCTTATTGTAAAATTTTATACCTATTCCTATAAAAGACCTATTGACTTTTTCTAAACGATACTTGGGGACATACTAACGATACTTCGTCTTGAATCACTCTATCTATTAAAAAAACGTCAAAATCCGTAGCTCAGTTTTCAAGATTTAAGTACACATAGGGACAGACAGCGACAGCGACAGCGACAGCGACAGCGACAGCGACTTTGTTTTACACTAATGATGGTTGGCAACCCTACAGTTGCCTCTTATTAAACCTCGTCGTGAATGAGAGACCCGCCGGCCCAATGAATGAACTGAGTGGAACTATCCGGCCTAATCCGCCCTTTTGGTGGATGAACGGTTTTAAGGTAAGTCCCCAGTAAATAGAGGAGTTGACTGTGTTCAGCGGAGCGCGCCGTTTGACGAGTTATGATTTCAACAGTTTGCAAGTACTTAGTTTAATTTCGCACCTATTACTTCATGAGATACGAGTCTAAAATATACACATAATGAGTATGAGGGTGTATAAAATAAATTAATAAAATTATTTTCTTAAATATTTTTTTTGTTTACTCTAGTTTAATATCTCACCTATTACTATAGTTCCTGAGTTACGAGTCTAAAATATACACTTAATATACGGGGGCTGGTATGAAAAGTTTCAGACTTAACAATATTTTTTTTTCTTAAATATTTTATTTATTTTTCTGCAAATACGGCAATTTCTAACTAAAGTATGATTATACAATACAAGATGGATGAAGGAAACTCTAAATCACTGGTAGAAAATGCTAAAAGATCTAATAACGGCAACTATAATCAATATTTAAAAGACTAATGTCATATATATATTTATACTACGATGGCAAACAAGCATACGGCCCATCTGATGGTAAATGGTTACCGTAGCCTATGGACGCCTGAAACATCAGGAGTGTCACGTGCGCGTTACGAAACCTGAATATACCCTTCTTGAAAATCAAAATAGTTGTCACCACCTCCTATCATCATACCATCCTACGTGGTTGTAGCCCACTCATGCATAAATAAAATACCTCCTTTGGAAAGTACATTCTCTAAAGTGTTACTCACTATTTTAGAGAATTTGTTTATCTGTTTTGTCACTGTTTGTTTGATTGTTTGAGGGGTAATTCGAAAATGAACTCTTTATTAATATTAAATGAAAAGTGAATTAAAATTTTTCATTGTACGATTGAAAATTAACAATTTACTAGTGATTTCTTACTAAAACTAAACTAAATTTCGTAATGTTACAAATTATGTACGTTACATCGCCCCCCCCCGTGAAACAGAATTTTAGGGCTAAGTTAAGGGGCATAGTACTAAAGGTTGTTAAATACTAATCTAAAATGTTTACTATGAATATTTATGTTATTTTTATTATTTTTATTTATTTAATAAATACAATATACAGCTAATTGCCAACACGTTTATATTTTAAAACTATTTATACTACTTAAAATTATACGATGACAAAAATATTCTTATTTTATTAATTATGGAAGGCAAGGCTTCTGTATAAACGTCAGCATCTTGGACCTTACCTAAAAATAAATTTAATAATTGCAATGCTCTCATAGTGAGAGAATTGCTAGCGTGGCTTGTGTACCGACGCGGTTACAAACAGTCGGACACGATGACGGGTGACACTTCTCACGTAATTCGATGGGATATTGAATCCTATCCGTTCTACAACTGCGGGATTGTCTATTTGGTTGCGCAGCAGCAAACAGAATGGACAGCGAGTACTAGTTTCCTTCTAAGTAGTAATGAATCTATGTCTATCATACCTATTACAAATAAAGATAGGAAAAGGAATGGGTAATAACCATGTTTTTTCTTATATAAGAAGCGAGCAAATTTCTTTTGTACTTTTTCTAGAAGTTGTGAATATTTTGTAGTACTAGGATCCCATAAGTGAACCATATTCCGCTTAAATTCATATAAACAGATCGATCACAAAGGGACATTCAATATTAATCTTTAAGTGCGTATTAGGTACATTTTGCAAAGAGCTTAAAAAGCGGTCAGTGAAAATATTATTCTATTAAGCACTGCATAATATATGCAGAGGTTTTGCATTAAGCCTTTTTAATTGAGCCTATAATTTAGAAGACCCTTCGTTGGGAATTAGCTATTACAAATAACTCTCTCCCTTCTGTGCAAATAAACGTACATACCAATTATGGTGTTAGTAGGGGTAGTTTTTGTTGTAGTAATAAGAAAAAAGACTAGGTAAACGGAGAAAATTTATTAATATACACTACTTACAATTAGGAATAGAAAAAAGGAATTGAAGTATCAAAAACAAGAATGTAATATAAAAGAAATATAAATTCAAATACAAATTTAGAATATAAAATATATATCTGATTAGCCAGTTACAACAGTTTTAATAATAGGGTTGTAATATAACATCCTCTCCAATCGATATCCTGTTCAATTCAATTTTTTTTTTAATGGATGATAATGGAATGGTGCT